TGTCTGTTGGCCATCTGAATTTCTTCTTTGGAGAACTGTCTGTTCAGCTCCTCTGACCATTTTTTAATTGGATTATTTGCTTTTTATTTGTTGAGGTGTGTGAGCTCTTTATATATTTTGGATGTCAACCCTTTATCAGATCTGTCATTTATGAATATATTCTCCCATACTGTAGGATACCCTTTTGTTCTGTTGGTGGTGTCCTTCACTGTACAGAAGCTTTTCAGCTTGATATAGTTCCACTTGTTCATTTTTGCTTTTGCTTCCCTTGCCAGGGGAGTTATGTTCATGAAGAGGTCACTTATGTTTATGTCCAAGAGATTTTTGCCTGTTTTTTCTAAGAGTTTTATGGTTTCATGACTTACATTCAGGTCTTTGATCCATTTCGAATTTACTTTTGTGTATAGGGTTAAAACAGGGAGAATTTTTTATAAAATGACACATTTAAAAATTTGTATGTCAAGTGCACATAAACTATGCCATACAAAACTCTACCCTCCTCAGGGACCCAGTGCAGGAACTGTGCCACAGATCCAACCTGAGTGGGTGGCAGCCCTTGCACAGGAAGCCACCAGCGGCTGAGCTGGGGATGCTGAAATGTACCCCAGGGGCTTTTACTACATTCTGGATCCCAAACTCTGGTTCTCAGGTGTGGCCCTCTATCAAATTTTAACAAAAATCAAATCCTAGAAGAAAAAATGAAATGTATTTTCTATCTGCAAGAAATTATAATCCATTCTCTTTCCCCCTTCTTATAGGAAACTGTCAGAACAGAGTTTGTCTGAGATTAGATTTTGGCATACTTCCAGAAAGCACCACAGCCCATGTCAGCCTGCAGTTACAGATAAAATCAGGCTTTTCTGTAATATGAAAATGTCGTTTGACATGAGTGGGAGCCTGGCCAAAGCCTGCTTCTTCATGCCAGGTGCCAAGTCCAGCACCTGAGAAGCAAGCAGACAGAAAAAGTTCTCACTGCCCAAAAGAGGCTCCACAGACCCGCCAGAATAGTTTTAGGGGCAGTAGGTATATGTGGAGTCACAACATCCTTCAGTGATTAAGCATGACTAAGAGAATTTTCTTCCTTGAGGTATAGCAGCAAGTTAGTGACATTTAACTTCCCACGAGAACAAGTAAGATTTTACTGAAGGACTCTGACATGTCTCAGATCCCTGGTTTCCAAGATAAAAGGAAAACTACTAATGCTAATGGATCCAGGCTCAGTACCACAAAGTCTGAGTTACTGTCCAGCCCGTCTTGCCTGCATCTGTTACTTGGCTTGGTAGACTTATGGGAGTCCACTCCCTTCCAAAGAATCAGATGATTTGTTAAACTCTTACCTTTGGTAGTAAAGTGAGAGAGGAGAGGTGTAAAGGTCCAGGCCTTTGATGGTCCAAGTTGAACTTGCAGACAGCTTTCTGACTTTGAGAGGCAAGGTCAAGTGTGCAAGCCCGTGTGCTAACCACTCTAAACATATGCAAGTGTTTGGGCAATTGGACAGGTGTCCCCATTCTGCAGGTTTGATCCCAGCTTGTCAGATACAAACTCCCATTTTCTGAGAAGTTCTAGAGTGAAGCCTCTTGACTTAGAACTTACTGTTAGTATCTTTGTTTAAAGATTTCAGATTTGGAAAATAATCTTGTCCCTACAGTTCATAATTACTTGAATTTAAAAAGTTTACTTCAATCATATGGACCTGCCCAACTGTAGAAGGTTTGTATCTTACCTGATAATGATTTCACTTTAAAATTAAAGGTTTTCATTAGAATTGAGGGAAGAAAAATTACTCAAATTTTAAAGACTTGTTCAAAACCGTAATATCTGAATGACAAGATCAACCTTATGTTTAATATTAAATTTGGGGGAAAGGTAGAGAAGGAATAATTATGGTACTAGCCTTGTTGAGGTGGGTTAATTTTGAGGTAAATATAAGTAGTCATAGGGTGGACTGTCTAGTCCAGAGCATCACACCCAAACTCCTTTTCATGCAGAAGTTATTAAACCTGCCCGACAGTAGTGTGTGGCCTTTCCTTTGATTTGCCACAGTCTGTTTCCACAAGAAAAATATATCTAAAAGTTTCATCTGAGTAAGGCCAATAGTACAGGTCTTCCTAACTTGAACAAATCCAAGAAATATTTAAGTACCTACTGTGTGCCAGACTGTCCATTTGAAGTTACCAGATCACAATAAAAGGCTTCAAATATCCAAATGAAAATGAAAGACAATTGTTAGGAGAGGTAAAAAATCTGTGACATTTAGGATGAAACCTGAAGGAGGTGTAAGCGCTGGCCTGGCAAGGAAAGAACAGTGGGGAGGTAGTTTTATTCCTCTGAGGACGAGGCGGCCGTAAGGCTACCAGGGTGCCTTACGGTCACGCAGGGGTGTTGGGAAACTGTATGAAGAGCTTTAGTGATTTGACCCTTAAGTACAGTGATGGCCTTTAAAATCCATTAATATTAATCCAAAATTGCTTGGTCAATATTTTTAATGTCTGCATTGTTTCCAAGTATTATATTTATTCATGATATCAGTACTTAACTGTTATCTTGGATAAAAATAGCCTTATTTGGGATTTGATAATGCCATTTTTTTTCACGGCACACTATCCCTAATAAAATTACCCCAGTCTAAGGCCATATTCTACAGGGCCCTCCTTGTATGTTGACATACCAGAGTGCAGCCCATAGGAGGAAGAGGTGCTGTTTGTTTGTACTACAACTGTAGATTAGTATTTCCATTTTCATGAGGTTTTAGTAACCCAAGGTAACAAAGGCTTAAACATTGCAAGAAATAAAACTTTGCAACAGGTGGCTGTATATGAAGGAGTAATAATAAAATCCTAAGAGAAACTTAATATAGTGAAATGTTGGATGAATTAAATTTTGCAGTCTTTAAAGCAACTTTAACATCGGAGAGAAAAAACCCTTCTATTTAGGGAAACCAGTTTAAGGAGGAAAGTCCTTTACATAGATACATATATACAAATGACACTCTGTGCTCAAATACCCATAGAAATCTCCTGTACTAACACGGAAATATGCATATACCAAAAAGAGAACCATTTAAATCCACTAAGAAGTGCTACAAGTAATGGCTTCTCCCTCAGGCTTTTTAACAAAAATGTTCAGTTCCAACTTGGAACTTTCTCAGGTGGCCCTTCCAAATCCTGTTGCTCAGTCCCTGGGAATCTCTAAGCCAGAAGTGATGCCTCTCCCTGTAGACTGACCCTTAGTTATGGCTGGAAACGTATTCAAGACAAAGCTGCAACCCTGGCATAGTCTCTGGGATGCCCTCTTGTTAGAAACTGTGTAACTGTATTAGATAAGGCAGCGCAAATAACTTTGCACGTTATACTTCTGTTCCTCATTTATTCCCAAGGAAAGATTTACTCAACGGACATGGTCAGCAAGAGTTCAGGGTCTCTGGGGTGGGACCTCTATGCCTTAAGATTAAAACGACGGGATTTCTTCCTTCCAGATCATTGAACCCTGACTCGGTGTGGGGGGCGGGAGGAGAGCGGATTAGTGCTGCTGGATTATAACTCCCGAGGGTCTGGGAGGACCCTCAGGATGTTACCCTTCCTCTGTTCGCATGCCTGTCGCAGGAATTTTGATGGTCTTCAGGCTGAGGCTGGTTGCTCACCTGTTGCCAAGATACCATGATGATGATTAAGAATTTGGAAACAGCTTTCTGGGAAAGTTCTGCCTAAGTATCCGAGCTGTCCTTTAATGTCAGGATATGCAGAATATATCACTGAGAAGACAGCTGCTTTTGTTTGTATTAGAAATTTGAGACAGGCAGCAGTAGCCACCTTTTAGGACTTGGGACAGAAATGTATAAATTCATGGTATAAAAGAGGAAGTTTTCAAACAGTCAATTTAAGAACTGGGTTTTAATAGTATTGAAATTGAAGGGCTGTCTGCGTTACAGCCTACCTGTTCCAGGCCCTGGAGGGTTAGGAGACTAGCCATTCCTGCTTCCCGCACTCCCCCCTCAGCTCACATAGGGGAGCTCTTCTGCCACCAGTCTGACCACGTGCAAAGCAGAGCTGGGAAATGGACTTCTTCTCCATGAGACTAAAAATGAAATGAAAGCAAGTACTTATTTGACCATAAATATTTTTATTAAATGTGAAAATACAAGGGCATAAAAATAGTACCCATATTTGTAGAACATATCTGAGACCCATTTCAGTTAATTATCTGTTTCTTTTTTAATTAAAACACTAAATTGAGATGGATTAACTTACTTAGTCTTGTCTCATTCAAAACCAACTCTAGTTTTACAGCAGGAGTAATAATTTAACTTCTCAAACATCTCCAATTTTTTACCTCCTCCGCACTCTGCTTTCCACTGCAGGCAAGAGGTTTGACACAGACAAGTGCAACAAAACCTGTTACTATACACAGAGCCACGCAGTGGCTAATTTTACTCTTGAATCATTCAGCAAATGAGATCACCCATTAAAAAAAAAATCATCCCCACATATTAACATCATTTGCAATTTACAGAACAAACTCTGCTATGAACAAAAAGGAATGATCTGGTTTAGAATAAAGAAAAATATGATTTGCTACCAAATTAGCATCTGCCTTCCTTTGGAAATACGGAAAAGTCAACTACTTTCAGCAAATGTGCGTGAATTCCTCTAGGTCACATCGCTGATGTGTGCTCAGTGAAAGCTTCCTGCAGGGCGCATCGCCAGTGCCCTTTGCCCTTAAGGCAGTCGGCTCTGCCACAAAACTGACTGAGGAACTATTTTTAACCTAAGCATCTCGTGCATTTTTTTTTCATGGTAAATGTCACATACAATTTCTGACCTATTTCCTGCCTTTAAAGGTCAAATGTCTCATTTTCTACCATGAATAGAAAATGTTGCCAATTTCAAATGGTGATTCTATTACCTTTTTTTCCTGTTATCAGTATTTTTCGCTTACAAAAACAAGTTTTATATTCCATACATAATGAGAGTCCCCAAAATTTGTTTTCATACTGATATTTAAATAAATTTTTAATACTGACTAAAGATAAAGATATCGTAAAATTGACATTGTTATATCCAATTCACATTAGTAAACTATTGAAGTTGTTTCAAGTTTTCATTTACCCATGGTAAGAAAGCACAAACTTTCAGAAGTGAGCAACAGATTGATGTATTCTCTCTTTTTAGAACTTCTTCACATTTATAGGCTGATGTGTTTAATACTTGCTGCTGTAGAAAATATCCACAATGCACAGCCCAGCAGTATTTCACTTCTGGAGCTCACCAGAGGAAGGGAGGAGCTGAAGAAGGGAACATACTGCAGCTAGGACTGGGTACCCTCTGATTTTACCTTTCCAGAAAAAGACGCAAAGATTACTGGGTGCCTGCAGTACCCCCAAACAGACTGGAGAGTGCTGAGTGGAAGCAGCCCAGAAATAAGTCAGATGCTTTCTCAGTTATATGCTTTCCACTACATAAGGAACAACCATTCATCCATTCACACACCGAGGGTTTTTCTCAATCACTGTTCTGGGAAAGCATAGAGTGACTGCCTTTCCATTCATGTGGATACCAGAAGACAGCTGATGCCGGTCAATATTTTCTTCATTAATCAGCAAAACAACAGGTTCCAGAGAATTCCTTTTTCTCAGCGGTGTTGGCACTTGGCACCATAGCTTCCCTTCTCTTCACTGAAAACAAGCAATTCTCCACATTTCAGTTACAGTGACTAAGTTAAATCCACGGTAGGCCTTTAAGAACAGGAATTACGGTGATTACAAGTGGACAAAAAGTAGCGCAAACAACCCTCCGGGCAGCAGGTAGGCAGGCAGCAAGGTTAACAAGTACCCAGGACGCATCTCCCATGTGGCGCAGCCCTCAACCATCCTGACTCCCTCTGGCTTCTTGTCATTTCTCATCCTCTTCTCTGAATGTAAGGGCAAGTGACTTGATACCTCCTTTGTTCTGACTGTGTGTGAAAATTGCTTTTGAAAGTAGGAGAGGCCATTGATTTCAAAGAAGTTAGTGACATATGAAAAAAAAAACATTGAAAAACATTGCTGACATAACTAATGAGGTAATGAGATTATACTAAGATTAAAGAATAAAAGTGAATTTCCCTTGGAAATCATTTTCACACTGGCTTGAATTTTGAGACACTAAAACAAAATGAAAGCTGCAAGGTGCTCACTAGTTTTCAAAAGGCGTTAAGTTTATTGGTGAGAAACACTTCTAAATAGATGCAAAAAGCACTTATGTGATTTGCTCAACTCACCTATGTGACTTTTGTCTCTTAAAAACATTTCCTCCACATGTCTCAGGACTGCTGTAGAAGAAAATGATCTGTGCTTCGCTGTTGTGGACATTCGTGGTCAGGATGCCTCCCACAACTAAAATTAAAACACTTGATTTCCTAAGAATAATGTATTAGACCTATGCTGCTTAAAATGCTTCAAAATGCTCTGAGGCGAAAACAAAAACCTTTCCAGAATAAAGGCAGCAATTCTTATCTAAAGTAATTCTCAAGATTTTAAATGTAGCATCAATAGTTCCATAAATATTTAATGTTCTTGATTAAGGTAACACTTTTGGGGGGGAAATTAGTATACAAAAATTGAATAGTTCATTTCTTAAAAGTTAAGAACAACGTATCGCTAGGAGAGATGCCATCTTGATAGTGAAAATACAGCCACACCTGGGAAGATTTGTAAACTTGTATTATTTCCTATGCAGGCCTAAGTCTAGAGGCATCAAGTTCTGGCAAAGGGGCAGGTCTGCTAATTAACGTCCACCTTAAACAGGTCTCATGTGGGAGTCATTTCAGTCCAAGAGGGTAACCAGACATAAAAGAAGCTCCCTCACTGTATTTATTAAAAGTGGGAAACATGGCATTATTTGTATTCACTGAGTACCTTCACATTTCTATGCCAGTCCTATTACAGGAGAGTCTAACAAACAACTCAGTTGTTAAAGTACCTCATTGTGCACTTCAGCAGTAGTATCGTAATAGTACCACTGCTATATTATCTGAACCTATTTTACTTATATTTGTTTCATATTGAATAAAAAGGCCCATAGGTTTTTTCAATTAATTCTATTTCAGTGGTTTTCAGTATTCTCTTGCAGGTACTGAACAAAACAGAATATATGCTTAACATCAACTACCAGTTGGTAGCAGGTTTTCTAAAAGATGGGCTCTATCCCTTCTTCAGTGGTAGCCATATTCATGCTGAGAGTTGGAGATGCATATGGATTAAAGGAAGATCTGTCATTTAATAGATATTTGCAAGCGACTGGCCTGACCAAAATCTAAGCAAAGTTGTCCCTAAGAACATACAGCTCAAAATCATATTCTCTTTAAGAATACTGAAACACACCCATTCTCGTGAAGAAAAGAGTAATTTCTACAGGCTTCAGTGTAGAAAAACTTCGCAGGTGAGCCTGCCTCAGCGCACTTCTCCCAGACACTTCGAACACAGACGCAGCTGGTCTGTCAGAAACAGCACATTCCCTGCCATCTCCTGTCCCCGCCGACCCATCAACCTCAAATCTAAAATGGATAAGAATGGATTTTTCTTATTAAAACAACTCTTTGGTCATGGACAAACTGAAATATTTGAATTTTTTTTTCATTAGGATCCTGGAAAAAGGTTTCTTTGTTTTTAATCTTTAAAAATATTAAGGAAGAAGAGCAGAAAAACAGCTGGTTTAATTGAAGTGGAATTTAAATCTAAAAGGTCCGCCTGAGCTGAAGGGGTTGAACCCCTGCCACGAGTTCCAGCTCCTGTGGAAAGGGCTGCCGCCGCCTCCTTGCTGGCTCTCGGCGTCCAGGGGGTCTTCTCCGTCATCAAACTTCTTCCTCATCTCTGTAAGAGAAACCAGCAGGTGACCAGGTACTGACCGAGTGTGAGGGGCTGGAGGACTACGTACTCCCCACTTATCAAAACAGTTGTGCCCTACACTCAAATCGAGGTTCTCATATTCCCGCCCAAATGCAGTGAAGTTCAGAGCTGCAAACGGCTGTTCACTGAGACAGGCCCAAGATGGTGGCATAGAAAGAGCACGAGCCCATCTCCTGCCACACGCACACCAAATCTACACCTCCACAGAGCAGTTCATTCCAAGGACCCAAACAAACCAAGGCCTGAGTGAACACCTTCTGTACAAAGAGACATAGAAAGAGCGCATGAAAAACTGCAGGAGAAACAGAAAGACAGTGTACCACAGGGAGCCCTATGCCTCACAGCCCTGCATGGGAGGGAGAGCGCTGGGCTACCAGAGCACACACTCATCTGCCCTGGACAGGAAAGAAAGCTACAAAGGTGGAGGGCTTAAACCTGACTGCAGGACTACTGGGACTCTGGGACCAGAGGACCTGGTGAGCACCATTGCTTGTGATCCCCCTGGACCCTGCTAGCATGAAAACCTTTACTTATGTTCCCCATGCACACTGACAGTGCAAATGAGCATGGTCACACCGGCAGCGTCCTGACCCCTGCCCTCCCATTTGCATGGCCCAGCCAGGAGACCCCAGACTGAATCCTTACACCCTCAGCCACCCTACTAACATGGCCCTGGGTGGCACCCACCTGGAAGCTCACTGGAGAGTGCCCCTCCACACTCAGTTGCACTGCCAGAGAGGATCCAGCCTACTGCCTACCTGGGAGCATCCCAAACTGTCCCTTGGACACCAGCCAGGGTGGCCCTGTTATGGCAGCTACACAGGATACCTGATGCCCAGGCCCTGGGAGCTTCAAAACCAGGGCACACCCATCTCACAGTCACTCAGCCTCCAGCCAGTCAAAACCACCATGTCCACACAGTCTACCCAGGGGACCATTCCCACACAAGTCCAATCCTTCAAGATGAAGAGAGGTAGTTCTTCCTACTAATTCACAGAATCACTGAAATATAAGGTGTTAAAGAAGACATACATAAAACATGGAGGAGGGAAAGTTAAAAATCTAATGCTTCCTAAGCATTAGAACTTAAGTAACTGTCAATACACTGCTGCATATGTAAGAAATCATATATAAACTACATGGTACCCACAAAACAAAACCCTACATTAGATACACAAAACTTACAAAGGAATCCAATGATAACACTAAAAGAAAAGTCATTATACACAAGGGAAGAGAGCAAGAAGAAACGACCAGAGAGAAATAGTAAAGTACTAACTTAACATTAAGCTCCCCCTGGAAATGTCAAAGCATTGTTCAGTAGTAGCTCGGTTGTTAGCTGTCTCCCTCTTACTTTCCAGGCCATTTTAGCATACGATAAAATAACACAGCAAGCAGTAAATCCAGTGAACATTTGATTTAAAGCAAGATTCCTGGAGACACACTCACAGAGGGCAGGCAGCTCCTGGGCTAGGTATACACTCTTCTCCCACCCCTGCATTCCAGCCTGGCATTCTCTTCCTCTTAAGTTTAGGATAAAGAATCCATCACTGATCTGTGATGTTGGAAGGAACCTAAGAGACCTCCCTCGCTGTTATACTTTCATATCACAAGTGAAAAAACTGAGGTCCAAAAGGTTCTAGTACATCATTAAATAGAGAGAAGAGTCGGACTTGGACCTCTGATTGCTCATTGGTCTTTCCACTGCACCAGGCATATAAGGGTCCCTGAGTCCTGACAGGGGCAGACAAAACTGAACCTCTGAAACTGCAAGTGGGGGCCAGTCTGCAGCCCCCCAGGTGAGCCCCAGAGCAGCCCACAGAGCCCACCCACTGTCCTCTTCCAGCCCTGCCTCTGAGATGGGCAAAGGGACGGAGCTAATTACTAAGTCACCAGTCATTGAGTCAGCCATTTCAAGACTCTAGAAAATGTGAAAGGCAAGTACCTGGGTCAGAGAGGACTTCTTTAGCAGCTGCTATGTCAATAAACTTTTTCTCAGCTTTTTTCTTTTCTTCTTCATTCTGGAAGTTGTCTGGGTGCCATTGCAGTGCCAGTTTTCGGTATGCTTTAATGATTTCTTGCTTTTTGGCATTTCTGAGGTTATTAAAATAACAATCACCATCAGCGAGGAAGTGCCCAGTACAGTGCCACAGAACACCGGGGGGCTCAGACCCACTCAGCAAGTCGCCCTGCTGTCCCCGATGGTGCCAGTGGTGTCACAGGCTGGACGTCTGACGTGCAGCTCTGGTTTTACAACATCACAGATCAAGCCCAGACATTAATCAGGCTTTCTTGGATATTGTCCGCTAGGATTAATCTCGCTGAGGATAAACTATTCCTGATCTTTACAATTTTCCCTTCATAAAAGACCCACTGCTAAACTTTCTCAATTTCCAAGATACCATGATTCAATTTTTGGCATTAAAAAGATTCTCTGACTCTTTGAACCATACTTTCTATTTTGCTTCTGGATTCGCTTACTTTAAGAACAAAGTTTCAGACTTTTAATTGTAAGATTGATGGTTCCCTTGTTCAGGGAAGATGGGTCTTATATAAAAGGATATATTGACTAAATTATACATCTCTCAGTGCCTGCAAGTTAATTCTAAAAGTGTCACTTTATTTTTAGGCCTAGAGAAGTTTTCCCCATCCCCTCTTTCCCTCCAATCCCCACCAAAAGAAAGCTCACTCCTAACCCTTTATCCTTCTTAAAAAATCTAGGCCAAGGACCTGTTCATGCTACAGTGCCACATCCTGTCACCAATTACTAATTCTCCATTGCTGTATTGCTGTCTCTATCATAAAGAAATGCCTGTAACATTCAAAATAGCTTATGATGGTAAATTGTTAGGGGTTAATCTATGACTGAAATTATATAAGGAAAGGAAATTAAACAGGAAAAAAGATAGATTAGCTTTAAAAGAGTTGATTAAAAATAGCAATGCAAATTTTAAATTAGTAAGTCACCTTTTTACTCCCAAGATTTTATAATAATCCCGTTTCTGCGACTGTTTCAATAGTCTTTGTGCTTTCTCTAGACCTTCCCGAATCTGCTGATCATTTTCATTGTGTTCTTGAGCAGTTTCATAATCCTGAATAGCTGTCAAAATATGTTTAAGATAATGCTGTTAAGAGGAATTACAATTAACTTTTACTAACCCTGCATTGATATTAAAGTCACCATCCCAAGGCCCCTCACTTTTCCCATTACTGGTAAGAGCCTAAGAAGAGATATTTTATTTCTTAATATTTTGTTCACAAATTTATAAAAAGCATAATTAAAGCTGAATTTAGGTATCTTATACTCATTCAACAAAATTCATTGCTGTTTATTTACTTGCCCACCCTCCCATATTACCTTCCCCACACCTTTGAAGTAGTTTAATATCAGCCCTTTATACAAAGCATTCTTAACCATCACTAAGATTGAAGTGATTGTTACAGGAGAACATAAAGCAGTGGCAAAGAAAATCCCCATGGTCGGCGACAGGCCCACAGTTCAGCGAAATGAAAGGCTCAGAAAGGGAGCAGGGGAACCACAATCAATCAGAATGACTGAAGTCATGCACGGGTTTGAACACAAACTATTACAAACCTGTTTTAAGTGTCAATCAAAGTAGAAAACCATAAAGTCCTGATATGGTAAGTCTGATAACAATCCACATGATTTTAGAGTATTTTAAATATTTCAGAAATACAAGGCACCTAGACATATAATATCATGCAGAAGAGAATCAACACAGCAGGCCCGATCGTTGTTATTCTTAGAAAGGCCCGATGGCAAGGCCGGCCTTGGCCAGCATCTGGAAAGATGGACTTTAGGATGTTCCCAGCAATTCCTGATACGAATGACTCACTGTGCTAAACTGTACAAACAATGTGGCTTATGCTGCATGTTGTCCTTCTGGGAGTCTGGAATTTTGGTATGGGCTTGGCAAGAGGTGTCCACCTGGCCAGCCCCCAGTGAAAACCCTGAGCACTGGGTCTCTACTGAGCTTCCCTAGTAGATGGTACTTCATATGTGTTAAGGAATTTGCTTATTCTGTGTGATTTCACAGAGAAGACACTTGACATCTTCCACCTGGTTTCCTCGGGGTTTTGCCCCACGCAACTTTTCCCTTTGCTGATCTTACTTTGCATCCTGTCAACTAGAATAAATCTTAGTCCTGAGTACAACTATATGCTGAGTCCCCTGTGTCCTCCTCCCAAATCACCAACCAAATCTTCAGATGGTCTTGGGCAGCCCCAACACAAATTTCTCTTAACAGATGTCTGTTTTCCCTGGACAGACATCTCAAATAATGGATCACTGGGTTTAAATTCTAGTTTTTATAGAAATGCATTCCATGGTGGAAAAAGACATGTCTCTCAATGACATGCCTGAACATTCATCTTGGCAACGATGAATCCTGGAAGGGGTTTAGAAAGGCACCATGGGCAGATAAAAATGAGAAACACACTAGAATAAGATCAACAAATGTACAGTGGACTACTCTTATCTGTGGTTTCATGTACCCACCATTTCAGCTGCCCATGGTCAGCCACACTTCAGAAGCAGATGATAGTCCTGACGTATCATCAGAAGGTTAACAGTAGCCAACACGTCACATCACCTCATCTCACTTCGTCATCATTTCTACCTCACTTCATCTCATCATGCATCATCTCACATCATCATTACAAGAAGGGTTAAATACTTACAATATAATACTTAGACCACATTTACATAATACCTATTACAGTATATTGTAGTAGTCCTATTTTACTATATGGTTGTTAATCTCTTACTATGCCTTTTATAAATTAAATCATGTATGTATAGAAAAAAAACAGTATATATATAAGGTTCAATACTATTTGTGGTCTTGGGCATCCACTGGGGGTCTTGGATCACAAGCCCTGCAGATAAGGAAGGACCTACTGTAGTTAGCCTTCACTGCCTAGAAAAATGAACCAACACTACCTTGGCCCATTGAGGGAAGAGGGGTTGGGGGGGCACACCTCAAGCTTTTATTCTAATTCTGGCCTCAATAGATTAATATTAAATATTAATATGAAACAGTAAATATTACTGTCACCTATCGCAATGACATAAAATATCTTTCCAATTTAGTACACAAACCATCATAAATCGTGGTGGGGTTTAACTTTGCCATTAACAGCCACAGCACCTCCTATTACAACGTAGTAAGGAAATGCACCTTGACGGAATTCAATACAAGGGGAAAATATTTCAATATACACAATTTTGCTCCTTAGGCAAGCTACACTTACAACATGTTTTCTTTCTTAAATGTTCAGAGTATCTCCCCTAAAGCAGTCTTTGATGTTCTTTTATCCCTGCAGAAAAAATAATAAACTACAGGTTTCCCAAATTCACATGATTACAGGTAGGTAACTAATTAGAAACATAAGGGAGGATTCTGAGATGGCAGAATAGGAGGTTCCTGGGATCACCTCCTCCACATACACATGGAGGCACCAACTACACGTAAGGCAACTCACTGTGAAAACACCATAAGGCCTGGCAGCACAGAGCTTCCATACCTGATGACATGAAGAAGGCCACATCAAGAAGGGTGAAAGAGGCAGACCTGTTTGGGACCCAGACCCTTACCCCTCCCTAACCCACAAGTGGGAGGGAGAAGGCCCCGCATCAGGCACATCCAGTCCTGGGGACCTGCACCAGACAGACGATGCCCTATAATGTCTGGCTTTGGAGATCAGCGGGGCTTAACTCGAAGAGCTTGATGACCTGTGTGCTGTGTTGATAGGTCTGAGACCCAGCACAGGACCACTTTGAAAAGCACCTGAGCTGTACAGGAAAGAGATTTATTGACTAACTTAAGGATATGTGCCAGGGGGTGGGCATCTTCAGGAACTTTTACCAGGGGAGGAGGGACTGGCGGAAGCCATTTTTCTTCCTCTCCTTCAGCCTGGCTGGTCAGAAGCTTACAGGTGCGCATTCTGACATTCTCCATCTACTGTACCTGCCCTGCCCGATGTTTGCCTGTACACTACTCCCTCCCAGCCTGCCCAACCCAGACATCTCTCCAGAGTGACCCCAACACTGCTACACGCTGTGGACACCCCCTCTGACTGGTGTTTTCTGAGAGTGCCTATCACCACGCCACCCCTAGCAACCAGCCACAGGAGAACCAGCCCCCCTCCAGAGCACCTCCTCCCCACGGGGAGCTAGCCCCGCCCACCAGCACACCTACAGCGGGTAGAGCAGAACCTCTAGGCTGTAAACTTACAGTTACAAAATAAGTTACAAGCCATGGTGATGAAAAGTACAGCCAATAATAGTGTAGTAACTTTGTATGGTGATGGTAACTACACTTCCTGTGGTGAGCACTTTATAATGTACATAAACGTCAAATCGCTGTGCTGTACACCTGAAACTAATAAACATCAACTATACTTAAATAAAAATTTTAAATAATAACCATTAGAAACTTAATAGGGATGATGTGAGACTTCCCATGGACATGAACTAGAAAAATCATTTTTAATTTTCTCAGATGTTAAGATGGTAAAATTTGTCATGTGTTTTATTAAAAGTGTTTTACTGTTTTGATAATAAAAAAATAAGTGACACAGCCAGACTCAAATTCAGGACTAACTTTAAATCCCCATACTCTTTGTACTATGACCTTATTGTTAAACTAACTTCATTCATTCATGAGTGCCTGCTGTGTATCCTCAAACAACAATCTTATTTACTTCCTTTCTTGTGAGTGAAATCCCCTACATGCTTTCCTGATAATTCTATATTAAGCCTAAAATTAATAAATTTCCATGTTCCATTATTCACCAACCTATTTTTTCTTTATTCATTATATACCTACCATAATTTTAAAATAAGGTAAAAGCAGTGAACAAAATATGGAAACTCAGGATGTCAACATATAAAATAAGACTATTACTCATTTACATCATTTACTAAACCTCTGATTAAAATCCAAACAAGTCAAACAATATCAGTTTCATCTACAGACTTCTTCTCCTCCCCCAACAAATTTTAGAGACCTGGCAATGGCATTCTCTCTCTGAAGATGCTTAATTTCCATATTTGTGATTTAATAATCATTTTACTCTTGTAAAACCATAATTCCAAAAGATTCCCTAGTATAGAACCGAAACCCCCCACCAAAAAGACAAAGAATAAACTCCTATTTAAAAGAAAAATTTCAAGGAAAAACAGATTTCAAAGACAAATCTATCCTATTAAATTAGCATTAAGCATCTTTTTCTTCAATTTTAATTCAACCTCCAAGCTTGATTGCTCTTAAGGTTCCCTAAAAAAACAAGTCAGTTTAACATTCAAGTTAAAAAGGAAGCTTTCAAAGTATTTAGCAGCCTATAAAATTTAACCTTTCTTTAACAGATAAGCTTTTCATATTATTTTGCAGGTTCTCTAATTTCACAATTAGAATTATGGGTTTCCATACATATGACAAAAGTACCTTTGATGAAAAATTCCAAAACCTAGCTGGAGTGCAAAATCCTAGCATGAGCACAGCTACCTCACTGAGCAGTCCCAGGAGCTCAAGAGTGAAAAGCACAAGAATGCTACCAGATCTTCTTCGGAGATTACCTGCCTTATTGAAGCATTCTTATAAATATTAAAATATCACTTTGCATACATTTCAAGCCTCAGTCAGACTTCAAGGACTATACTACAAAAAAAGCCCACAAATAGAAAGCAGGGTTGTTATTACTCCAGGAAACTGTTCAGAGAAAGATTCTTTTTAAACTGTGGAAAGCAGGAAAAAAGTGAATGATCTTTTTGCTAAAAAAATAGTACCTCAAAACTTTCTTAATTCTAAGTGTAGTTTATCTCCTTCCTAGTATAGATTTATTTTATCACTGTTGATGATGCATTCTTATTGTGTTTAAAAATGTTTCCAGAATTACATCATAATATGATTACTTTTGGGTTATACTAAAATTTAATACATATTATTTCAATAGATACACTTTAATTATTCAGTACTTCGTTGAAAAAAAAATGAAAAATCACAAGCCAAGTTTTAATAGAAAAATATTCCTACTGTTTTCAAATTAAAACACTACCTGATTTGAAACAAAAATTTTACAATAAGGGCCATAAAGCTTACTTCTTTTAAAAACCATCTAATTTAAATGTTCATAGCACACTGTCACATGAAAAAAGTCATAAAACAATATATATGAAAGGATTCTATTACATTACTACTGAATATGCATTAGTGATCTTCCCAAAATAGGGCACTGCCTTTACCCGAGGTCCGTCCACACCTGACAGTAAACTCTGTTACCTCAACTTGAACAGAGCAGGGTAGGCAGCTATCCTAGCATTACTAAACAGCTTAGGTGGGGGTCACAGAAGACCATTTTAAATTTAGGTACATATGACATATATGTACACTATGTATAATATGTATACTGTGTATATGCATAGAATGTGTGTGTGTATATATGCATTGAATATATACTAATATATATGCATAGAAATAAGTCTGAAAGATATACAACCAAAATGAACAGTGATTACCTCTGATATGAAATCTATACTTTAAACTTTGTATTTTTTTATTTATCTTTTCTAACTTGTCTACAGCAGAAGCTAAAATTTGTATTTTTATATTCCACTGAACTGGTTTCAATAGCAGAACTCTTTCCTCAAATATTATATCCTTTCAAGTTTCACTAAGGAAGAATAATTTTCAAGTTCTCTGACATTTTTCTAAAATTGTCAACATTTCCAGGTACTATGGTAAACTATTTTTAAACAGAAGGATATTAAATGTGCTAATTTCATATATATCAACTTTTAAATCCTGCAAATCAAATTCCTTAAAAAATCTACCTTCATCATACATTTCTTCTATTAGATAGGCCTCTGCTCGATCTTTCAGAGCATTCACATTGTCAGGTTCCACCTGTAAAACTTCAGAACACACTCGAATAGCTTCAACAGGCTTCTCATCCTAAAAGTAAATGTGAGAAAAGGATTTATGGTTGCTATCCCATATATTAAATTTTCACATCTCTGGGAACGAGTCAACTGTTACCTTAGAAAAGCAGTGGCAAATCCTTTCTTTTGAACGAATTGTATATTCAGAAACTCTTGGCTCTGTTTCCATAACAGACTCATATTTGCTGGTTGCATCTGTGTATCTATTAAATGAACAAATCATGAGTAACAATGAGGTTCTATTTCCAGAGCTAGAGAAAGGACCCACAGTATGTTGCTTAGTCAGTTAATCTGAATGAGCACATGCCTTCAAACACTGCTTTTATCTTCCTGATCTACAGTAGCAAGAAAAGATACTCTCTCTGCATTTAAGAGTTAAGAAATATAAAACATGACCACAGAAAAGGTCCATCAATAAATCAAAGCATACTTGTGAGTACCAATCAAACCAAATGATGAATTTCATTACACAAAAACGCTTATGATTTTGGAATTAAGTAAGGCACCTTGTTAAAGTCTGACATAACACAGAGCACTTTTAGCAAAATAGAGATAAGATTCTACTTCTTGGTCACTACATACCTTCATGAAATAACACAGCCCACATATACATACTATTTTATATAATGAATGTCAATGTTCACAACTAAAGACAATGTAGTTCCTTGCAGAAGAAACTGGTTTAAATTTCCAACTTTACTAGCTTTCTAAAAACACTAAAAAATATTTTAGCATTTTTTTTAACTGGTAAAAAGTAATGGTCGTGTTATACACTAAGTTACTTTCTTCAGTAATGGCAAACTAGAAGATACTTTTATATGCCATAATGGCACATTATTCCCAAAGTGCCATAATCTTCACATTTAAATGTTAATGTATTAAAACACAGGTTTAAGTATAACATTCAAAATAGAAGCTAGCTAACAATGCCACAGTCCTACTTGGGATACTGTTCAACAGTTTTCCAAGATAATACAATTGCAGGGAACTGCACAAAGCATATGAGACACTGTTTTACTTCTTACAACTAAGTGAAACTATAATCAGCTCAAAATAAGAAGTTCATTAGAAAATTCTGTACTTGGCTTTTTAAAAAAATCTAGTTTCTGGGAAAGTGAAGTAAGTGTACTTGCCCCAATTCCTTCATCTAGGTACAATTAAACATCCTAGACACTATATATTTTTTAAAATATAAGAAGACTCAGAAAGGGGAGAAAAATATACAGACCAGCTAGAGACCTCAGGACCCCAGGGAAAACACAGTGTGATAAGTTCCCTGGATTTCTTTTTTGCTTCATATACCACAAGCTTGGAACTGCAGAAGCCAGCAACTCAGAAATGCCAACAGGGGAAGACATAAAAAAGACACAAAAAGCCAGTAAGAGCCTGCTCTCCCAAGCTGAAGGACCCGGAAGGGCAACCTAGCAAGGCACAAAGCTGTTCGACAGCTGTGGCTCAACACCAACCACCACAGAGAAAATTATGGCCTCACACCCACCAACACCAACCAGCAGGTCAAGCGGAGAATCTAGACTTCTTCTCTGGTGAGGCCATAATGAAGTGTGCTCACACCGCTACCAAGGGGATGTTACAGAAGGCCAAAGGGATAAGAACTTTCATCTATGGCTGGAAATGAATCCCCAAACCTATCACGTGCATCAAGCAGAAGTGAGAACCCCCACATCTCAAGTATCAACAAAGTCCAAGTGGGAAAGTTCTACCTCAGCCTGACAGAAACAAGTATACACCCCCACTCTGCTGGAACAAGTCAGAAAAAGCCAGCTAAAACAGACTTAAATAAAAGAGTCTTGTAACATAAAATGAAAATGTCAGGCTTGGAAGATCTCCAACTGAATGAGAAAAGACAATAAATACCAACACCAAGAGGACAGAGATGTTAGAATTATGTGAGAAAGACTTTAAAGCAGCCATGAAAAAGCAGCAATGACAACATGCTTAGTGCAAACCAGAAACTCGAATGCCTCAGCAGAATTAGAGGATAGAAAATAACCAAATGGAACTTTTACAACTGAAAAACAGGAAAAAAAAAAAAAAACTCACTGAATGTGCTCCACAGCAGAAAAGAGAAGACAAATAAAAGAATCAGTGAATCAGAATAACAGAAATTACCAAATCTGAAGAGAGAGAAAATAAATTGGAAAAAAAAAATTAAGAGAACCTCAGGTACCTGTGGAGCTAAGATTTAAAAAAAAGTCCAACATTTATGTCGATCAGAGTCTAGGAAGGAAAATACAGGGTAGGGTTGAAAAAGTACTCCAAGGAATAATGCCTGGAAATTTTCCCAAATTTGACAAGACATACCTACATATTCCAGAAACTAAGTAAACTCCAAATCAGATAAACAAGAAATCCACACCAAGATATAAACTTCTGAATACTAAAGACAAGGAAAAAACTCTTAAAAGCAGTCAGAAGAAAATGATACCTTATTTTTAGGGGGAAAAACAATTAGAATGACAACAGATTTCTCACCAGGAACCATGGAGACCAGAAAATAGTGGTATAACATTTTTCAGATGCTGCAACAAAAGAACTGTTAAGCCAGAATCCTGTACCACAAGAAAATTTCTGTATACTCTGTACACATCGCTGTCACTGCAGACACATTGCCTTTCAGTAATCAATTGATTATGTCTCTCTCCCACACTAAACTATAAGTTTAAGACCAAAATCTATAGTTATATTCATTTCTGCACCCCCAAGTACACAGTGCCCAATATAAGAGATACCCAATAAATATTCAATGGAATATAAGTAAATCTGCTGGTAAGAATGCTATGCAGTTACCATTATTTATATTCTGCCTTATTTTAAAAACGTACAGTTGTGGTAGTTTTGTTAAGGCCCAGTGCTATCTGGGATACTCCATCCTCAATGGCAAAGGAGTAAGGGCAAGCAGTTCAATTGTTTTGTGCCTGCAAGAGACATAGAAGGGAATGGTGGATCACCTAGATGAGCATATTACCTGCCATCTCTGATGAGCGCTTCAGCTGACTCAATCAGCTTGTTAAGTTTCTTTACTTGTTTATAGTGTACAAAACACCTTTTATGATCCTGGTCAAGTTTAAGACATTCACGAACTTCACTGCTCATGTATTTAAAAAGAAGAAAATACTCCAAGTCAAAATAATCAATGAGTAGTTTTCCATTAAACACAGAAATCACAATAGAATGTATTTTTTGTTTATAACAAACAAGACTTAATAATTTACTATATACTTTTATATGTAGCAATGTACACACTTAGTAATTCAAATTAAAATGACTTAAGTAGAGTTATACAAATACCCCCTTTTTGCTTCTGCAAATATATCCCGATTTATTTTGATAAGCATACTCCATGAAAATAAAGTAACAAAGTATGCAGAATAACTTACGGATAACACAAAACACAGAGACATAGAATATAAAAACAACCTTAACCACAATGTTATTTATTTCAAAAAATTAAAAATTAAAGTAAAATGAGATTATCATCTTACTGCCAACAATGAAAAGATGATGAGATGTGCACATCAGTAGAACTGACCTGAGGGACAGTTCATGGTCTCCTAGTTGATAGTACAGTGTACTGATTTTATAAAAAGCCTCAGTATTGTCATTCTTCAATTTTGATGCAGCTTTTAAGTCACTTATTGCTTTCCTAGGCTCCCCTTCTTTTATAAAACATTCAGCTCGAAGTTCCCGTAGTTCTGCATCCCAAACACAAACCTTGAGAAACAAAAGAACTAGACTTTAAGAAACAGTAAATTATGCTTTCATACTTGCATTCTATACTTTATCTACATACTTATGAACATAAAACATCCTCAATTAATGTGATAACTCTATATTGTAAATAGTATTAAAAATTCTGATACAATTTAGATGTGACAAAATAATTTCTCCAATGATATTTTAAATAAATTCTAATGGGGGGAAGAGATACACATACTGACAAGACCCTTTTCCTACCTCCTTCAATTATAATTCTAAAACTTTGAAAGTAAGAATACATGGCATTTACTATTAGCACACTGTTCCCAGTAAAGCATATTTGCTTTGAAGAGAGTATTCTGTAATTATACTTCTGTACTTAATTGACAATTCTAATTTCTAGTTTCAAAAAATAGAATCTAGATTAATCCAAAAAATACTTTCATTCTACTAATTATTAAATGGAATTCTCTTTTATAAAATGCCATCTCCTTGAAATTAAATCCTCATGTCACAAAATGAAAAAAAAAATGTGAGAAGGTTGAGGCTTCACTATTTCTATTTTATCAAAAAGTTGACAATGTTTAGTAAACACACTAGTATTTTTCAAAATGTAAACCCAAAAACTTACCAATAAGGCCTACAGAAGTATCTCTACATATTTCTTAGAGGTGTTCTAAAGTCATGCATATATTAAGATACCAAAATCAACATTGCACATAACGTAAGTATCATGGACAGTAAGCTAGGTCAAAATGGATACTCTACTGGAAGATAAAAATTATAACTATATTTCCTACTACAGCACCAAAACAACTTAGTAGAACATGAATTCTACTGGACCATGTCACACAATTTCCCCTACACAATACCAAAGTGCCCATTGTACATAAATCACAAGTTTACTGCCGAGATTAAATAAAACTGCACACCAAAGTACTATGAAAAATGACAAATATGAGTTATGACTGCTTCTGCTTGAATATTTTAGTAGGTTTCCTTCTGAAACTATTTGTCATTATGTCCCTCAGAAGCACGGAAACTACACACTTAGGTTTCCCCACTTAGAACCCTCTGGATCCTATCAACTCTTCACCTGCCTTCTTCCTTAGGAACTTCTCAATACAAACACTCCTCTTTGCTCCTAAACATTATTTTTTACTTATCTGCAACCAACTCTTTCAAGTTTTACCACATTATTTAACCTCTAGTTTTCTCCCTACTCCCAACAAAAACAGCAAAGCAAGCAACGTTTAAAATATGGAATTCCCACTCCACAGCAAATTCAGTATATTTATTGAAAACTTCAGTTCCAAATTTAGTTCAGCATAAACACTATCTTTTACTTAAGAGCTGAAAGCCCAAGGACCAATCTGATTTTATCCTGTCTAGGCTTTTTGTTGTATATAACATGTCAAAGTACATAAGCAGGCCTTGTGTTAAGAAGCAGTGTTAGGTTTGTCAGCTGCAAATCTAAGAAACTTACCTCTAAAATCTTATCAAGGAAGGTTATAGAAGCAGTATAATCCGAGCTCTCAAAAGCATCAAGTGCTTGCGAACGCAAACGCTGCATTTCATCAGATTTTATAAGTTGAGACTGAGCTTCCTTTTCTTCATTTTCACTAGGATTAGATTTAAGCTATAAGAATAATAAGAAATTAAAGGAGATTTTTAATCTCTGTAAGTCTAAAACCCAGAGTTTACACAACAATCTGACCATTCCAAATACTTAGTTCCTTCGGGGAAGGAGCAAAGACACTGACAGAACAGGCTTGAGCAATGACTTGCCCCTGGTGCTGATTACATCTTTACTTCCGCAGACTCGTACACCAGAGTGAGCAGGGGCACTAGAAGCAAAGACCTGGGTCCCCCAAACTTACGAGGGAGCAAATATATTTAGGAGTGTGAAGGGGCAGAGAAGAAGGAAGGAAAGTACCTTTCTTACTTTCTTACATATAACTCTTGCAGAATAACTGGGTTTTATGAACTTTTGCCTTCTAATTATATTTCCTAAGTATTTAAATATAAATTAATTTTAGCAAATAATGAGAAATATGGGAGATCTGAGGTACAGGGCAGTCTTGTTAAACAAGTACAGGACAGGAAAACATCTGATACCAGAGGGGCTAGTGTCATCCCCACTCCCAGCACAGCCTCGTGCACAGTGACTCAAAAATTTCTTGCTCCAGATTGAAAACCTTAAGCTCAATGGCTCAGAAAAACTGAGCTTTTAATGGCTCATTAAAAGCTACTAATTTGGGAGAGGGAGGGTGCTTTTTTCCTTAAGATTACAGTTTATATGTAATAATTCCTGACATCTAACCTCTTACTAAGATGGGAATCGTAGTTGATAGGTCCAATTTTTTTGGATGAGGTGCAGACAACTGCAGATTATTTCTAGAAATATCTCTCCTTCAATTGACCAATCATACTGCTTCCCCTTTTAGTGAATTAACTTTTTAAAAACATTCCCACTACCACCTGGTGGGAGAGAGCACTCCAAATGTGAAGCCTTCAGAGATCATTTCTCAGTACTTTGCCATTTTGTTTTTAGGGTAAGTCTGTTTAATCCTTGGCTTTTGAAGGAATAGATAGGGCTCTTCATAGTAACTAGGGATCGGTAACCTCAGCTCACTCAGAGAGAACCGTCCCTGCACGAATGAATTATCCAGTTGACGGGGGTTGCTTGAGGGCCCTGGCATGCTTGTTTATGACTGCTTTACCCTCCACAGGACGGCCTTGAAAACTTCTGAGAGACCACACTGGAAGGAGCACGGAGGAAGCCGGAAGGAGCACTGTCACTTAGCTCTGGGTAAAAGGAGAGGTTGATTGACACCTTGTTTACTATAGGTACACTGCTGCTCCCTTTCAGACAGAATGTACTAGAAACTGCCTCTCTTGTATGGAATTTGCATCTCTTCTCTCCCAAACTTCAGAATCTAGTCTCTTCCACATAATCTTTCTCACTGGAAGGTGAGGGAGGGGAAAGCCCTAAATCTTGAGGCTGAAGATGAGGGAACCAAGGGAAGCCTCTGGCCAATAGCTTGGAAAACACGGAGGCCTGTCTAACAGCTCAAGAGGAACTAAATCCTGCCAACAACCAAATGGGTCTGGAAGCAGTTCCTTCACCAGCCAAGCCTTCAGATAATCCCACAGCCCTCTCTGACACCGTGAATGTTACCTTGAGAGACCCTGGAGAGGGCCCCAACTATGCCTGCCCAGATTCCTGACCTCATGATCAGTAACAAATCTGTGTTGCTTCAAGCTGCTAACTTTGGGTAATTTGTTACGCAGCAATACATAGCTAATACAGTAGTTTTACCATTTCTCAATGGCCAGGTTGTGAATATTTCCAAATAGATTTTGTATTATTGTTTTAAAATAATAAAACCTTAATTTGACTCCTCTCTGGTCAAAATAAAATTAAACTTTGGCATGAAATTCATTCACTGAACTGTTTTTGCTGCTCAAGAATTAATTTGTCTAATCCTATTCAATTTAATTATGGTGTGGGGAGGTAAATAACAAATTTAAATTTTTCATTTGATACTATTTGATAACATAGGATAATACGTAATGTTTGAGGTATACTGCAACATTCTCCATGTACTTCTAGAATTTGCCTTACTCTTTTCTGTAGTCTTTGTTAAGGGAACTATATAAAAATAATACTAATATGAATGTCAATAAAAAGAAAATAGAAAGACCCAATTGTTGAAAAATAATCATATCCAAGTTAGCAGGTGAGTGACTGAATTAAAAGCATTCTAAGGTCCCTGTATTTTTCTGAAGGAAGCTAAAGATACTGATTACCTTTAAGCTTTATTAAGCATGTATATTAAGATTCCTAGGGTAATGACTAAGAGAAAAAGACAGTATGCATTAGAGTATAGAAAGAACAGAATAAGGAAGAAAAATCCAAGTCAACTAGGGGAGAGGAAAAGAACAAGAGGAAAAGCAGAAACTAACAGAAGGGTGGGCTGACAGAAAAGAAAGTGTTATATAAATAGAATCTAATAGAAATATACACAAAAGATGTAAAGTTGCATTTCTTACACCAACCAAGTTAAATTTCTTACAAAAACCAAGTTAAGTCTGTTCATATCAAGTGTTTAAGATGTGGAACATGTGGAACTCTCTTACGCTGCTGGTGGGAACAGAAATTTGGACAACCATTTAACAGGACACTGCCAAACGGCTCTGCCAGGTTAAAAATGCATGTAACTTTAAAAACAGCAATTATCCTCCTAGGTATATGCCTTATAGCAGTGACTGTCAGTGTATGATCTGGGAACCCTTGTTGGTCCTTAATATCCTTTCAGGAGTCTGTGGGGACAAAGCAGATATGGATAAATGATAATCTATTCAAAATATAAGATAAACCAATGGTTTTCATTATAACAGAGTACCAAAGGTTCACTGGTAAGAGTTCGAAGTCCACATTGCATCTAACCCATAACCACTAGTGGAGTTCAAGTGTAACATCAAAGAATATCCACAATTATCTAAAAAGCTATTAAAATATTCTTCCTTTCCCACTACTACATATGTGAGGCCACATTTTCTTTAATAAAGTTCAGACCTAGAAATTCAACTGAATTCAAGCAAGCAAGCCTGACATTAGAGAGATTTGCAAAAAATGTAAAACAATACCACTCATTAAATTTTTTGTCATTTTTGAAAATATTTTTCATGTAAAAGTTATTTATATGAATATTTTGGGTTTACTATTATTACTTTTAAACTAATAAATTTTATAATTTCTAATATTTGAAATAATTTCAAAATTATTGATAAACAAAAGCTTTTTGGAGCCCTCAATATTTAACAGTATAGTGGGATTCTGAGGCCCATCCTGAGAACTGCTGCCCTGGGGAGATTTAGTGTGCAGAATATTCACTGAGCCTGGCAGAGTACAAACTCAAATATTTGTTAAAATCATAAATAAAACTTAACAGAAATGAAACTAGGAAATGTGAGGATATAGCTAAGCCTCACTCCTCCCTCTTCCCCTTCTGCCCCACATCTGAACAAGCTGTTAAGAAAGCACACTTCAACCCCTCGAAGTGGGAAAGTCTTAAAATTGATGGAGTCTTACCATCAGCCTCTCAGCATGACTGTTCACGCCCAAAAGCAGTCTAGCACACTCCAGGCAAGTAATGAGCACTGTTGGTATGACATATACTGAGTTTAACTGCCATTTAAAATCTTAGTTAATATATGCAGAAAGGCAATAAACGGAGCAGTGTGATATAATAAAAGTGTATGTATAGATCTCCAGTGGCTCTTTTTTATGAGCAAAGAGTAAAAATATTAAGTTATAAGTACATTAATTGATAGCATTTATTCTTTTAATAGCACATAAAATAATAACTTATAATTGATGGCTCCTTATATTCGGGGAATTATGATATATGATACAAAATTATATCTGATTCAAAGAAAACCAAAAAAATTGTCTGAGTCATAGCATAGAGTGTTATCTTTACATTAAATTATAACCATATTTATTTCATGTCTTTAAAAAGTATTATTCCTTTTCTTCCCAATTCATAAAACTCATGTGTATTTTTTTAATGTTGGTTATTACTGATTTAAGTATTTTGAAATCATCCTTTCTGCACTAAAAGATTAAAGATGAAAAAAAAATGCCTGAAGTTGTGTTGATATATAGTGGATTATGTTAGTTTGATTTGCTTTCAATTAACACAGTCCACAAACTACCAAAGAAGAGTTTATTTATTAAGTATCTTGATTTAAAAACTAAATTGCAATTGGCACTGCTATTTACCTAATATATGTTTTCCTTACCACAATCAAAATGCAAGTTGCTTGCTTTGTCAAAATAAAACATATAGAAATATGAAATAAACATTAAAATAAATCACTTCCTTAATTGTGTTTGGATCTCATGGAACACTGCCTCAATCTAAATACCTTCCACTCAAACCCAAGCATGGATAGCAAAGATAAATAATAATAATAAGCAAAGATAAAGAAAATCTGGACTCCAAGAAAAGGTAAGTTGAAAATGCATTTACTGCATATTGGATTTGGGGATAAAAGGGAAGAATTCACAGATTAGAAATTATTTAATAAAATGAGTTGCTGAGGTCAGGGAAGTTTTACAAGAATAAGAGAGTCGTATTTTTTCTATCCAGTCTTTTCTGCTAACTGATTTCTCTCTGGGCTCCTACCTCAGGGACAGCATGTACCCATCTGAACAATCCAGACACCTGGGCATCATACTTACCATTCCTTCTCCCTTACCCTAGTCATGGCATCGCTCTTGATCCACCCTCCTGAATGTCTGTTTCTCTCAGTCCTCACCTATTCTAGCCTAACCTTTGGCCTCCACAAAGATAACTTGGATTATTACTGAAACAGCTTCATTTTCAAACTGTCTGCTTCTACCCTTGTTGTCTTTTTCCAACACATTCTCCAGAGTAGCCTGGAATTTACTGAAGCAAAAAGCTGACCATAACACTGCCCATATAAGCCTTCCACAGCTATAACCTGATACTACATAGGTCCTCTTTGCAGTCAAACCTCTGCTCCCTGTCTAGTCTCCTACTACTCCTGCTCCAGTTCTCCTGGAGGCATCGTTCTCCTAAGCAACAGGCTCTTTCTGACCTCCAGCTTTTGCACAGGGTACTCACCTTCTACCCGGATGGTCTTCCTACTCACCTTGCTAATACAGATTTGTCCTTTTAACATTCACATTTCAAGTATACTCCCTGCTTAGGAAAGCCTTCTTGATTCCAATTTCTTATTACATTTCTTATAGTAATAAAAAAAGTGCAATATGCTCACTCAAAATAAAATCTTCATAGAGCCAAATACAAATTGAACTTAACTCACCACTTTTTTAAAATCATCTTCTGCTTCATCAAGTTTTCCTTGTTTGAGTAGTAAGTGACCTCTCTGTAATCTTGCCTAGAAAAAAAAAAGGATATTCTACTGTGAATTTATAGATGTTCTTTAAACACAAAGAATGAAACTAAATAAGCTAATGAAGTGTTAATGAAATACCTATTTTTCCAAAGTCCATTTGACTTAACACTCAGACTGATTCCTGGAACCAACGAATGTGCATAATTTTGTTTAAAGTATGCTTCCTTACAAATACTTTCTGCTGTACCCCCCAAAAACTGAAAACATGCATCCATAAAAAATCTTATAGACAAATGTTTATAGCAATAGCCAAATGTATTTTATGATTTCATTCACATGAAATATCCAAAATTAGAAAATCCATAGAGACAGAAAGACAAAAGGTTGCAAGGGGCTTGGGCAGAAATGCGGAGTGACTGCTGATAGGTACAGGGTTTCTTTTGGGGGTGATAAAAATGTTCTCGAACTAGATAGTGGTGATGCTTGCACAGTCTTGTGAATATACTAAGAACCACTGAACTAATTCTTTTAAAAAGGGGTAATTTGATGGTATGTGAACTATCAATTAAAAAATAAATCTTTTGCCATCAAAATAACTTTTGCCACTACAATTAAATTTGTGTAATTTGGGGCTTTACCAATCAGAGCTCTGGGAATAATTTTTTAATTAACTCTCAATGCAAATATTTACTCCACTGTAACAGGAAAAACAATGCCTCTTCCCTTTTAACATGAATCATTTTCTCCCCCTTCACCTCTGATATTTCTCTTCCTCTAATGTGCATAATCCCATCAATTCCAAAAATACCAACTCTCTGATGACGACCAATGTCTGCCATAAGACAGAAACCACAATACTACACTAAACTTATGTATTACTTTTATGGTACATAAAATTTCCCCAATTCTCTGTTAAATTCACCAATACACATAAAAAGATTAAAGCCACTGCATCTAAGAGCTACTGTAATACTAGGAAAATGAGCTACTTAACTTTTGTGAAAGGTTGTGCTTATCTGGACAAAGTAATAGATTAGAGAAAAATTTGACACTTAGGAATTCCATCTTAAAATAATAGCAATTTCAAACCAAACATTCACCCATATCTCATCAGTCATCTCATATCCCTTCAGGAATATGATAGGATATCAACAATAAATGAGTTACCAAATTAGTTCTGAAACCACCTAATTGGTCCTATTATTTTAAGCCATTACACTCACCTGTCCCATCATCAGGATATCCCAGTAGGCTATAAATTCCTCCATTCCTGAAACTGGTGTGTTGGTTCCAGAGGAAGACTGTCTAATTCAGCACTGTATCCCTACCATAAGCCACAGCTTACTTGAGTTATCCCCTCTTCTTTAATCTTCTTGCTACAGCCTTAACTGACATTGTGGTCAGTCACCTGACAGCCTCTGTATCAACTCATTTCTCAGCCTGCTATCTTGCCCTCCACTCCATCCTCCCCACAAAGGTCTTTCTAAGCCACAAAGCTAACATTACTGCCACACTTCCAAAATCAGCTAATGTACCCACTGTTCTTCTTCACAGACCTTGGACTCGAGGGACTTTGGGTTTCTCCTGCTGCCCAGTCCACCACATCACAGGAGCTTTCTGCAGCATCCAGCTATGTCCAGCACTCCAGTCCTCGCCTTAAGAAACAAACTACCTCTTCCAAGGTCCCTTAAATTCTCCTTTAAAGAAAGTTTACATGCACTTACTGCAGTGAAATCCATCTTCAATTCAATCACTTTAGTTAAATCAGGAAGTGCTGCTTTTGATTTGCCCATAGCTAAAAAGACAGTAGCTCTCCGATAGTAAGCAATATAATTATAGGGGTCAGCATCTGAAAATTAAAATAATAAATATTAGCTCTCACTAATTAATTTAAAAACCCAAATCACTTGGACAGTACTAGAGTTTACAAAATCCCACTTAGAATTTCTTCATCAGAAGTAGATCATGCTGCCTAGGAAGAGCACTGATAAAATCAGAACAGGGCCCAGAAAACCGTAGCCTCCGAACCAAATCCAACCAGCAGACTTGAAGTTAAGAATATTTGTTATGTTTTAAAAGAGTTATCAAAAAAGAAAAAAATACACCACAGAGATTGTATGGCCACAAAGCCTAAAATATTTATTATCTGTCCCTTTAGGGAAAAAGTTTGCCAACCTCTAGTCTAAAATATTAATTATATTCACCTCATAATTTTGATAAGTATGCAATTCAGTCTTTGATTTTGCTACAATTTTCTTCAGTGAAATACTAATTGAGAATGTAGACTATGCACTTATTCACAGGATATTAGAAAACTACAGACCTCCAACAAAACTGAGATACCAAACATGAAATCTCTGCTCCCTCACAAACTCCAACTAAAGTGGCAAAAAAGAAAGGTACAGACCTCAGGACAAGGAAGAGAATGAAAATCAGAGTGAGACTCAAGAGCAAGACTAAAGAAGGCAACAACATTTGAAAGAAGGAAAGCAGATGGATGCGTTAGGTCTTTGAGCAAATTCCAATCTGCTTAGCACCAACAAAGCAGGAAAAGAAGTGAATTCAATTAGAAGCAAATTGTGCTGCTGAACAGCCCTACCAGAAAGCAACTGTGAAATATATGTACACATCAAGAATCTTACAACTGATCTTGACCAAATCTAGTCATCTATTTTTAAAGAATAAATATTTATGTACACACATGTGTATCATTATAAGATGTACAACTAAAATTCCCTGAAGATCTTACCATTTGAAAAGCATTACAAGAATCTCTATGGCAGGACAGTATATAATTATTAAAAATTATGGTTTTGAGCAGTTGGTGGTGGCACTGAAAACTATCTAAAGTACTTCTGGGGGAGGTGAGGCAGGAAAGCATAGGCCATAAAACCTTATATGAAGGAAGATGTACAAATGGCCAATAAGCACATGAACAGACACTTAACATTATTAATCACTAGAGAAATGCAAATCAAAAGCATACTGAGATATCATTTCACACCCATCAGGATATAAAAAGAAAATAAGGAAGGAAGGAGGGACTAAGAAACAAACAAGTATTGGAGAGGATGTGGAGAAATTGGAGCTCATGTGCGCTGCTGGAGGGTATGTAAAACTAACAGTTCACGTGGATTCCTTAAAAATCAACGGAATTACCATATGAACCATCAGTTTCACTTTTGGGTATATACCCAGAAGATCTGAAAGCAGGGTTCAAATATTTGTACACCCATGTTCAGAGCAGCATTACTCACAATAGCCCAAAGCTGTAAACAACCCAAATGTCTACCAATGGATGAAGGGATAAAGGGAACGTGGTGTACAGATACAATGGAATATTATTCAGCTTCAAAAAGGAATGAAATTCTGACACATGCTATAATATGAATGAGCCCTGTTGACATTATCCTAAGTGAAATATGAAATAAGCCAGACAGAAAAGGACAAATATTGTATGATTCCACTTCTATGACGTACCCAGAGTAGTCAAACTTATAGACAGATATTAGAATGGTGGCTACCAGGGACTGGGAAAGGAAAGGATCAGAAATGAGGGAAAAAATGGGCTGAAGGGGATAAAGAGGTACAAACTTTCAATAATGAAATAAGTTAGTCACAGGGATGAAAGTACAGCATAGGGAATATAGTCAATAACATTGTAGCAGCTTTGTATGTTGACAGATGGTAACTATATTTATCATGGTGAGCATTTAGTAATGTATACAATTGTCAAATCATTATACCTAAAACAAATAATATTGTATATCAACCAAAGATTTCAATTAAAGAATGCCTATTTAAAATGTATGGCAATACCACTCAGAAATAAACAAGGAAGTATACATACTACAACATTGATGAACCTCAACAACATGCTCAAGAGAAAAAAAAAGAAATGGGCCAAAATTGTTTAGTGAGTACAGCATTTCAGTTTGGGAAGATGAAAAGGATTCTGGAGATGGATGGGGATAATGACTGCACAACAATGTGAGTATCCTCAATGCCATGAACTATACAGTTATAAATGGTTAAAATGGCAAATTTTGTTAAGTATTATTGTGATAGTATGTTTGAAAAAAACAAGAGAATTGGTTTTTAACAATAAACAATTTTTCATTTTTTTCCTTAAATCTAAAACCAACCAACCAAAAAAAAATATATGATCCCATCTAACCATCACTGAAATTTATTTTCTGATATCCCTTAGAAAACAAGGAAAGAATAGCAAAGTCAATAGTCTATATATAGATATTTACTACAAAATATTTTAATTCGCTTGAAAAAAGAGTAAGAAACAGAGTAAAACTATATTTAGAGCGCACTTGAAATAGAGTATTTCTAGGTTCAGTTTTATATTTGATTTAGACTGTGCAATAAATTAAGACTACTTGGCTCTGGTCAGCATAACTGACCACAAGAATGATTTGATACCTAAGGATTACTCGAACTTAACTGCCTGCTTCTGAAAGTGAAAGGAATTCACTACAGGCCAACAGTACTTATCTGGGCAGGGAGACTGGACTGTCTTCTTTACATTGTCCATATAGCCCAAAATGTTTCGCAATGAACATGGAGTACTTTTATTTCACTGATTTTTTTTTAAATTTAAGTTCTCCATAACTTATTTACACTAACCAGAGAATAAGAAATACTAGAAATGACATGATTTAAGGCCTAAAGTTAACACCACACACCATCACGTTCATATGTCCAAATCTTACTCAATCTTTGAGGCACAGCTCAAATGACTTATTTAGTTACATGTGTGAAAATATACCTTCCAATTCCCATTATATTCTATAACATATACTTTTTTTTGCACCTAGCATATCACTACCTTCCAGTATCAATTATTTATACACACACACACACACACACACACACACACACACACACATACACACACACACACTGCAGTGCAGAGAAAATTAATTCATTGAGTTAATCCATTTTTGTGCATCCATAGATAAGTACCTGGACTCAAAGAAATGGAAACAAACTTCTGCTAATTGCAGCAAAGGACACTCTCACATCAATACCAACACTGCAACCTGCCTGGGACAAGCAAAGGACCCAAAGAAGTCAGCACAGACATGGCTTCTAAACAGATGTACCTCACTAGGATGTTCAAAGTATTCTCCCATAGGCAATTAGCATAGACATTTTTGAAAACTTATTTATTTTGAACTCTGTATGAAGTTCTTTCAAGGAAAGAAGAATGCTTATTGCTAGCTGCTAGCTGCTAGCTTTGGGCATTTTATCAAGAAGCCACCATCAGTGAAAGTACACTGAACTTCTATTTGGAAAAAAACTGACAATTTTAGTCCATGCAGAAAAACCTCCAAAGAGGATTATATATGGTATAGCTTTTGTATTAAAGATTCGATTATACATATATGAAAAACACCTATATAAAATATTTTTGAGGCTTTCACTTTTGCTTATTTTACTACCATTTTTTGTTATTTTTAAAATAAGAAATGGGATTGGAATCCCAATTTATCACACTGAACCCACAAAAATAATGGCAACGGCTCAACATATACATCAAGACTCAACTTGCTTAGCAGTATAGCACAAGTTAAATGGCTAAACAAAATAGCCTTCTCTGGCTCTTGATCTTTAAATACGAACAGTTTCTAGATCTAGTGTCCACTGTGCATGGAGCAGCAACAGAACACAGATTGGTTTAAGAAACTCTTGCTTAGTTTCTCATAGTACAGTATTTGATAACCTTGAAAAAAATCACTTTTCCTATTAGCCATTCAATATACAATATGGTTTATTACTTAAATTGCAGGTCTACATATAGAAATACTAAATTTCATTTGAAAACATGACATTCAAATTGTTATACAGGCACACCTTGGAGATTCTACGGGTTTGGTTCCAGACCACCACAATAAAGCAAGTATCACAATAACACAAGTAAAATGAATTTTTGGGTTTCCCAGTGCATGCTAAAATTGTGTTTACACTGTACTGTAGTCTATTAAATGTAAATAGCATAATGTCTAAAAAAAATGTAATACTTCGATTAAAAAATACTTGATTGCTAAAAAATGCTAACTGTCATCTGAGCTTTCAGTGAGCCATAATCTCTCTACTAGGAGAGGGTTGGGCCTTGATGTTGATTGATGGCTGCAGAATGATCAGGGTGGTGGTTGCTGAGGGCTGGGGTGGCTATGGCAACTTCTTAAAATAAGACAACAAAGAAGTTGCCACATCAACTGACTCTTCCTTCCATAAATGACTCCTCTGTAGCAGGCAATGCTGTATAGCGTTTTACCTATAGTAGAATGTCTTTCAAAATTGGAGTCAGGCCTCCCAAACCCTTCCACTGCTTCATGAACTAGGTTTATGTCAACATCCTAATCCTTTTCTGTCATTTCAAACATCATCAGAGCATCGTCACCAGGACCAGATTCCATCTCAAGAAACCACTTTCTTTGCTAATCCATAAGAAGCAACTCCTCAGCTGTTAAATTTTTATTATTAAGATTACAGCAATTTACATATAATAAGAATGAAAATGTCTGAAATATTGCAGGAATTTCCAAACTGTGGCATTACCAAAATGTGACACAGAGACAGGAAGTGAGCAAATGCTATTGGAGAAAAGGTGCCAACAGACTTGCTTAACACAGGTTACCACAAACCTTCAACTTAAAAAAAAACAGTACCTGCAAAACATGATAAAATGAGGTATTCCTGTAATAGTTCATTAGGAATTTCAACATGAGAAATATATTTAAAGTCTAATCCTAAAACTATCAAAAAATTCAAACAGGAGAATATTAGCCATGATAAAGAAAGTACTACTATTATTTAAAGAAATACATCAGAAAGCCAAATACAAATGTTGCACAAAGTGGTATTCGGAAGCAGAAGGAACACCACCCACACCTAAATACAGAAATTTTTTAATTCTTGCTTCCAGCTACCCCAACTCTACACCTTCATTCATTCAAATTTTTACTTAAGAAATTCACAATCTTTCAAACTGGAATGTGACCTCTGGAAAGTCATAGAACACTCTTTGTTCCCTCCTGTCTATATGTGAATAGTAATACCCAACCTCATTTCACAAATGAAGTTCAAATGTGATGAGAAGGCACCATGATATGTTTGTGACAAATAAGTATAAATGTGGATTTTGTTTTTGATTTAGCAAAACTAAGTTAAGTCTGATACTGATTTTCCCATCAAGCAAATGAAGAAACCTATGACTGCCATTTAATCCACCACTTTATACATTAATTCATGCCAGACATGCCTAAGACATCCTGTAATGTCTATCAAAAACTATCTCAGGCCCTAGAATTCATTAAGCCAGTAAGGCTATGCTGTAGGAATGAGAGGCGGGGCCATCTTCACACTTGCACTGAACTTCTTCTCTGACGATAAATCTCTGAACAAAACTTGTATCTGACTCCTTCATAATACTGAAATAGATGCAACTATTTTAGAGGACTATTTGGAAAGTGATCATCAACACTTCCTTAAATCACATTGCTTCCAACAGATCAAGAATATTTCCCAATCAGCTCCAAATCTCAAAACTCTTGCCAAAAAATGTTATACACCAGATACAAAAACATTTCAAGCCAAATCACTGAAAACTCTATACCATAAGTGGAAACAATTATTTTTGTTTCTACAAAAATGAGATATATAAGTAAATTTAAAAAAAGGACTCAAGAAAGTCAATGTCAAAATGTCCTAGAACATAAGTATATGTAGTGACTCATAAGAAAACCCTTGACCCTCACTCAGGACATATTTATTGGGGTCATCTCATTTCTCACAGTCTCAATAGATTAAAAGCTGCAGAGACAGTTGATGCTTACAGACACAAGTAAGCACTAAGAAGTGACAGCCTAAGCGTGGTGGAAGCATGACCAACACGGATGAGGAATGAACTGCAGGACCCAAGAGCCTCAGAGTAAGGTAACTATTATTTGATGATCTGAAGTCATCAAGAAAACTAAACTATATTCAGTGAAATCTTTTAAGAACACAGAATTAGAAATCTTTTAAGAAGACAAAAAAAAAAATTTTGTCAGTATTATCTCAAATTATTGTTGGCACTTATAGTAGAAAGTCTCAGTTACCGGGAAAATTCTCTCATGTTCGATACATATTCAAGTGTTACACATTTACTTGATTAATCTATTTCACGCAGAATCCTTTAAACACTTTTAAATGTTTTTATCTAAACATTAAATAATGTTTATTTTAAACGTTATCCAAAAAAGAGCTATTAATTAGGATTCACTAAGATGGCTTCTGAGTGATTTGGTTCCAAGATACAAACCTACTGCAGCATGAAACTGAGATAAAGCATCAGCTAGCTGTCCAGCCGCAAGTAATTTCTTGCCCAATTCAAGATGTTTCTCAACATCTGCATTTACCCCACATTCAGCACCTAAAAACAAATAAAAAAATAAGTTAACTTTCCATGAATAAAGATTTAATTCTGAAGAATAAAACGCTAAAAATATAGTTATCTGCCTCACCCCTCTACTCAGAGAAGTCACAGAAGCCAAAAAGTTAAAGTAACAATAAAGCATAAACAGTGCTTCATTTGAGTATAAACAACCCCAAAATATAACCATACTGACCTAGTCAGTCAAAAGAATGTAACCAGTCTACAAAATATAAGGGAAAGTATATAATAAAGTAGTAGTAAGAATATCTTAAACAACGAAGTTAGAATTGTTTTGTTAAACTAGAATCCACTTTAATGAATGTTGAGTCCATTATAATATTCAAATATTGCATCCTACAGTATGCAAGAATATATTTTTAAACGATTTATCCAATAAGGGGTTAACATCCAAAATATATAAAGAACTCATACGTCTCAACACCCAAAAAACAAATAACCCGATGAAAAATGAGCGGAGGGCCTGAACAGACACTTCTCTAAAGAAATACAGATAGCCAAGAGGCACATAGAACGATGCTCCACATCACTAATCATCAGGGAAATAAAAATTAAAACCACAATGAGATATCACCTCATACCAGTTAGGATGACCACCATCCAAAAGACAAGAAACAACAAATGCTGGCAAAGATGAAGGGAAAGAGGAACCCTCTTACACTGTTGGGGGGAATGTAAATTGATGCAACCATTGTGGAAAGCAATATGAAGGTTCCTCAAAAAAACTAAAAATAGAAATACCATTTGACCCAGGAATTCCACTCCTAGGAATTTATCCAGAGAAAACAAGATCCCAGATTCGAAAAGACATGCACCCCTATGTTTATCACTGCACTATTGACAATAGCTAATATATGGAAGCAACCTAAGTATCATCAGTAGATGAATAGATAAAGATGTGGTACATAAACACAATGGAATATTTTGCAGCCATAAAAGAAGAAATCCTGCCATTTGCAACAACATGGATGGAGTTAGAGGGTATTATGTTCAGTGAAATAAGCCAGGCAGAGAAAGACAAATACCAAATGATTTCACTCATTTGTGGAATATGAAAACAAAGCAAAACAAGGTACAAAGTAACAGTAGACTCACAGACACAGAGAAGGGACTAGTGGTTACCAAAGGGGAGGGGTTGGAGAGGGAGAAGGGGATTAAAGGGTACTTACTATAATTCGCAATCACAATATAGGTAGGTCACAGGGACTACAGGACTATAGTACAGCATGGAGAATACAATTAATGACTCTATAACATCTTACTACATTGATAGAAAGTGGTGGCAGTGGTGAGGGTGAGGGTGAGGGTGGTAATATGGGTGAATGCTGAACCACTATATTATGTTTGAAACCATCATTAAGATTGTATATCAATGATGCTTTAATAAAGAAATGTTCAAATACTGAGCATCTACAATACATAGACACTGATCTCAGTATTTGGAATTAAATGATAAAAACAAAAACTTCCGCCACTCACAGTACCTGACATTATAATGAGAGGAGAGAGACATAAGAAATAAGTAAATTACACAGTGTGTTAGGATAAAAATACTATAGACAAAGTATAGCCACATGAGGGGAGTGAGGAATGCTGGGACTTTCAGCATTAAATAAGGTAATCTAGGATGGTCTTCACTGGGAAGCTGATACTGGAACAGACTTACTTAAAGGAAGTGAAGAACTCTCCATGCAGGTATCTAAGAAAAGAGCCTCCCAAGAACAAGGGCCAGCTAGTACGAGAGTCCTAGGACATTGCATTCCAGGTCTGTTCCAGTATAAGCTGAGGTCAAAGAAGTAGAGGGCCTGTGTTCAGCTTTGATTTCACTCTGGGTCAAATGGGGAACCAGTGAGAAATTGTGAATAGAACAACATAATCTGACTGACCAGTTATCAATTGGTTACATTACACATTTATTTGGACAATCTGACAGGCCAATTTTATCAGACCTGATAAAATGATTTGCAATCTGGACAACAAATAATGGCAAGCAAGCCCAGCCATAAACAACATAGTAAAAGGCAGGAAGGATTCCATCTTAAAAATAAGATTGTATTTTAATACCCAGGAAGTTAAGAACTAAGATTCTTAACTTACTCTTTAGCAAACAGACAATAGCTTAGCCCACATTGGAGGCTGGGCAGGCAGTCTTGTTTAATATGCTCCCAAACCAAGATGCTGGTATCTCAGGAAAAAATCAGAGCAGTAAATTTCTTGTGTTAAATTAATTTTAAATATTCAGGAACCACTTAACAAGTCCACACCCCTGAGCACTTTATCTCATTCCCAAAAATCCTCAACTGCCTATAAAACCCCTAGACAATGCACAACTACAGGCTTTCTTGCCCCATGAGCTTTGTCCTTTCACTTTATCTCTAAATGCAAGCCTCTACCTGGCTTCACTCTCCCTGCAAGAGATGGGGTGCCTCCTAACTGGGATTTTCCCTCACCTTCCTCCAAATCCATCCCCAATGCTACTGCCAGATTAATCCTTACAAAATGCACTGCTAATAAAAAGTCTACAGTATTTCCACATCACTTGCTAGATTCAATCTAAATCCCTTCAAATCTATAGGCAAGCAAGACCCTTATTCAGGTCACTTGATATGGGTCCAGTTTCATCATCTCTCACTCTTCCACCTCTTACTTGATTGTCCTAACATAACGAACTGGTTGTACTTCCCCGAACATAGGTTCTCATGCTGTATCGCATCCTTTTGCGCATGCTGTTTCATCAGAAGGCCTTCCCACCTGCCCACATGCAAAATTGCTACTCCTTCAGCAGGACTCTGCCCTTAGATGGTGCCTTCTTTGTGAAACCTTCCCTGACCACTTCAACGAGAGGGTGGGAAAAGTCTACACTCATAACGACATGACTTTGCTTTGCAATACCACTGTCTCAATATAGCAACCTTCACAGTTTGCCTCTCATAACCCAACCACCCAATCTAAACATAAAGCAAGTTTGAGAGAAGGAATTATCTTTTCTTCTTTATATCACCTAGTTCAGTACTTTGTACAAAGTGGGCACTCAGTGTTTACTGAATCAATATAACTATTTTCCTTCTTACTTAAATGTACTATAATTCATCAGAATAATAGAATCCAAAATACATAATAAACAATTATCAGATCAAACTAATACTACCAAAGTTTCATAAAGACATTAATATATTTTTTAATTGTAAATAATGGGTGCTTTTGCAATATCTCAACTGTGCTTTGAGCTATGGATAATTTTTATTCCTTTGCCACATCATGGGAGACAGTGACAGTGAGAGCTGTCTCCTATATTCTGAGAGACTAAGCAACCAAACATCATACCAGTTCCTAATCAGCATTAAACAAATAAGATTCTCCTCAGAAAAGCATAACCATAGGCCAGCAAATTATAATAGGAAGAGCAAGAAAAAGATGAAGTACCTAATCTTTCATTGAAGTTAATATCAGAATCTGCTGTTTCAGAGAACAAAAAACAAAGAAAAAAACTAAAGAAATGTAAAGTTGTGTTAAAAGTATGATGTGGTGAGAGTCACACTCAAGACTGGAAGAACCAGACTTCAAAAGGCAGGAACTGGTGGTCAAAGATACTAAGGGTCAAGCTAAGGCCAGGAGACAGAGCTGGGAGCAAGCCCAGGGACGGGAATTCAGGTCGGAGCACTCAGAATATGAGGGATGAGGAAACCCCAAGATCACTCTACAAAGGAACACAATGCAAAACAAAGCACTGTCTGTAAAAGGGCCAATCTGAACCAATATCCAAGCAAGATGGGGCAGAGTCTGAAAGAAGTCTTATGGCAGAAACACAAAAACAGAAGAATCTAGCCACAGAAAGAAAAAGCACCAAGTTAATTACCTTAGCAATTCCATATTCAAGTGGGGACCAATGACAAAATAGTTTCAATAAAAATACACTGGGCTGGAAACCCTAAGCACCTCTTCCCAGTCACTCTGACCTAAAAAGTTCTGCACAAACTGAAAAACAAAAAAGCTGAGTAAATTATGTAGCACATCTGAACACTGTCTATACTAAAATCTTCCTAAGTAAATTAGGAAAATAAAATCTATTGTAACAGGTTTGCTCAACTTCAATGAACATTATCTGTCTTTGTTTCAATTCACTGTGAAGGCATGAATGTTGTGATAGGATGTATAAGAGTTCATGCAAAAAACAACTCAAATAGTCAATATCACTTATCCATTTAAAAAATATCTACTGCACATCGACTTCAGGTCAACATATTTAAGGCACAAAAACAAGAAAGAGCTCTTTCCATAAAGTTTATATTCTAGAGGGAACAAAAAGACAGAAAAAATAAATGAGATAATTCAGACAGTGTTAAGAAAATTCAAAAAGGTAAAGTGAGAGTATTAACTGCAGGAGAGAGTGCTTTTTTACATAGTGTGTCAAAGCAGCCCTCTCTGAAATATGAATGCCCATTTGAAGATCTCAGAGAAGAGCTTTCCAGACTGGGAACAGCAAGAATAGACCCTGTCCAAAATGAGGCTGGCATGTGGAAGTAAAAGAAGTTGATATGGTGGGAGCCTAGTGATGGAGGGGAAGATTCTGATGAAAAGAGGTCTAAGTAAACAGGAGTCAGATATGTAAGGCTTTGCAGTATTCATGGGATAACGTGTTGATGAGAGAAGAGGAGATGAGGAAACAGACTACCAACAAGTCTCTAAAGTTCTGCTGTCTAGAGAAGCAAAGACACAGATCAGTAGCTGAAGGGATGCATGACATCAAAGAACCGCTTAAGATGGAACCACAAAGGCATGTTGGAGTGCTGATGTCAGTGACCCAACAGAGAGTAAGTGACAACCCCTGAGAGACACACTCCTATAACTGGAGAAGCAACATTTTCAGAAGATGAGAAGAAATGGGATCCAGGACACAAGGGGTTGGATTTTGCCAGGAATAGAGATGCTTTATCCATTTTCATGTAAGAAAAGTATCAGAGTAGGTACAGATACAGGTAGGTTAAGTGAACTAAGTGGTAGAAAAGAAGAAACTTCCCTGTGATGGCTTTCATTTTCTCAATAAAGTTCCAGGTCTAAAAGAATGAGGTAAATCAAGAAAGGAAAGGGGGTTTTAAATTGAAGACTTAAGGGAAGAAGAAAAGGTTCAAAGTACTAATTTTCAAGAACAGACACCATAAGGAATTGTAGGAACACTGGCAGTATTAAGTGTGCACTTGAAATTGAGATTATATGCTTAAAATAAGACCAGTCTGCAGGGTTATCTCCATTTTTCTCCACCCACGTTCAGTTCTGAGGTAAATAAAGAAGTTGGCCAAGTTGAATGTATTCTGTGTCCAATTCTGCCAAGTGAGTGAAACAAAAGAATACAGGCGCAAAGAAATTAAAGAGTGTTTGCAATGGAGTGACTACAAGATGGACCACTAAATCTAAACTGAGAAAGGAGAGAAGAGGACATGGAAGCTGCACAAAGCACATCATACCCCCAAGAGGTCTGTAAACTCAACGACAAAAACCATGAGTTCTATATTATGCATACCTCACCAAAGAGCACTGCACTGCAAGCCTCCCTTGACTAAATTAAATGTACCTTCCCGGTATTCCAGAACTCCAAATAACACAAACTCATCAGATTAAAAAAAAGAAGGGCAAGCAAACAGCTTTCTAAAGATCTTGTAAGAAAAATAAGTCCATGGCTAAAATGTTTTATTTCTGAAGAGCAGGTGACTGGGTTCCCATTATATTTCCATGTAAACAAAGATTAGTTGCTAAACATTACTCATAGGAAACTCTTAATGCTTGAAATTAAACTTAACCACAATTAATTCACTTCATATGGGAAAATGAAGCCTAATAACTACAAAGCACCCCATGTCAGAACAACTCCCACGGAATCAAAACTACTGCATTTCTAGGCACTAGCTCAGTAAATGCTAACTAGTCAAGTGAACTGGAACACTGACACCACTGCTAACTATAGCCTACCTCATTAAAATAATTCTAGAAGCTATCTGACCATCTGTTAGATTACAAGGTTTATGTAAATTACTGAAAGTCATTCATTTTCCCTTCTTTTGATTCTCTCCATATTTAAATAATGTCAAGAAAATCCTAGAGAAGACAAACCATGCTTTTAGTAAGTTAGGTGCACAGAAAAACTATCCCTATCTTTTATGCTTAAAGATTTTCAACCACTTTCTTTTCTCCATGGTCAAATGTATGGTTTAGTCAGATCAGTTCACTGAAATAAAGAAAAATGGGTCCAAGCAGCATGTTAAGGAAGAAAAAGAGAAGGAAGATTTGGTTCCCAGGCTGTGTTCCAACTCAAGGTACCAAACAGAACAAATCATTATCAAAGAATTAAAATAGCTTCCTTATCTGTAACATGAGAATACTGAAGTAGACACTACTAAAATTTTCTTTCTGTTTCAAAAATTCTATTACTAATCTAGTGCTTTGAACTTAGCTCTTCAAAAGGCCTTTTGGAAAGGGGGTGCTAAAAGATGTTATCTTTCAATTTATAAGCCTATTACATAGTTTCTCTCTCTGGATTACAACTAACAGAAAAACCTAGAGGAAAAAAAAAGAATATTTTTTAAATCAGAAAAAATTAGGCCAACTAAGTTAATTACTGGTGGCACTCTCTATGCAGCTCTGTTACACATTCACTCTTCTTGCACCCATTCTCCTTCATTTCTCTCTCAAAGCCTCTGGTCTTGCAGTGGAATCATGCAGGCCTGAATGCCTCCAGGAGTACTTCGAAGTTACTGAACCCAGACACAGAACTTACCTGGGAAAACTGGAGCTAACAGTTCGCTAACAGAAGTTGGAGGTTCTTTCTTATCTTTAAATCCCCATCACCAAATTTAGTGTCTAGTACACAGCAGCCACCGAATCTAACTTTTCCAAATAATTTACTACACCAGTGACTGTCACCAGTTATTTCTTTTTAGAAATATAAAGTTTCAGGTCTCACCCAACCTACTGAATCAGAGACTCTGGCAGTGGATCCCAGCTCTGTTTTAAAAGGCCCCGGTGAGATCCTGATGCACACTCAAGGTTGCGAAGCACTGTATTAAATATGCCAGAAAATCACGTTTCTGTTCATTACTGCTGAGTGAGCAAACAAACAGAAAGTGCGGATTTTCTCAGCTGTCACCACTTACAAATGCTTGCACCCACTGATGCTGCCAACACTTCACTTCTGTCTCCAGCCTACATACAAGACATACAGAATCATACACAAAACAGCAATTCAAAAAGGTGGCCCAAAAGCTAGCAGGAACAGCGTTATCATACAAAAGTGTGCACTTTAGTAATTTTTTTAAAAAAAGCATTAAACAGAACATAGGTAACTTTCTCTTAAGTAGCTAAAATTTATCATTCAAGGTAACTGGATATAAATGCTAGACTTGATGAGGAGTGGCTAACATTAAGAAATGTCAGAGAACTGGAATACATGACCCATATTTAAGTGATCCAGGCATTTCAATTCCCTAGATTTTCTGGGGCAACCTCACTGTAACACTCTTTGTCCCAATGTTGTCATGCTACAGTTCTGATTTTTGGTTCAAAAAAATATGGTCACCAGAAGAACACCACCACCACCTGCTTAAAACGGGGAGAGTATTACTTTTCTTAAGTTGAGAATTTTGAGGGAATTTTACCAGAAAGAATTCCCAACATCAGCTCCTCATTCCCTCAAAGTCTAATAAGTCTTATATTAAAATGTGTAATTTAGCCTCCTTGACTACTAGCCCTTTTCATGGGGATGAGAATAGATCAGTGCATGTGACATGTTTTGCCCAGTTAACTAAGCTAGGAACATTAGTTAATTGGCACTTTCAGCTTTAATTCTTCTTTCGCAAGCATCTAAGATGGGCCAGCCCTATATTTCTGCTATTCTGGTAGAGTAGCCAACACTGCAGTCTGCAGGACTGAAATGAAATTTACGCGTTTGTACCTTGTTAGAGGGTCATTTGTTCAGAGAACTCTGGAAAAGGAAAGCCAGCCTTAAATTGAATGCCACCATGCTGGGAGTTGAAAAACCACAAACTTAGTTCCTCGCCCTCCGGGAGCTCGTCGGCTCCCTAACGCACCAAACCTAACAACTTCTACACACAACACAGAGCACAGAAAAGTGATGGTTACTCACTTTGAACAGTCATCCCTGTCCCCTGCTCCTCACTCGGCCGGACACACTCCCTCCCGCCTCCCGGAACTCCACAGCGAAGCAAGCCTCCCCCTGGCACCTTTCAGCCTCCTCCCAGCACCTCCGACCAAGTGTCCCCAGGAGCCGGGCGCGGGTCCCAAGCGAGGCCGAAACCCGGCGGCTGCCCAAGTCTCCGCGTCCCAGGGCCCCCGAATACCTCCCGGCGCCCCGCGCCCCGCCGCCTCCTCGGATCACCTCGGCCCCCTCCTCACTCCACACCCGCTGTTTCGGTCCAGCGGCCCGCGGGCCCCAGCACCTCTTCCCCAGGCAAACCCGGAACCGGGCGCCGGCCTCCACCCAGGGACGGGCTCAGGCCCAGGTCGGACCGCCGAGTCTCGGACCGTCCGGGCCGCCCCAAGACTCGCGCCCGGGCTCAGGAGGGCAGCACAGGGAGGCCTAGCCCGGGGACCCGCTCCTCCAGCCAGGGCAGCACCGGACTCACCTTCGTACTGCAGGTCCACCAGGACCAGCAGGAAGGGGAACACCGAGCCCAGCCGGCTGGTCACAGAACCGGGGGCCACCATGTCCGAAGGCGCGGGCGGGGAGGGGCAGCAAGGGTGCGGGACCCACCAGCCCCGCCGGCGCTCAGACAGCAGCTGCACGCGCCCGCCCACCGTCAGCGCTAGCTCAGGCCTAAGCCGCGGCGGGCGCCCTGTGGAGGGAAGCAGCGGTGGGCGGGGCCCGGGCTACGCTACGCCCCGAGCGCCGCCGCGGTCCAATCGCTCTCTTCCAAGCCTCTTTCCTACTGGGCTCGCCAGGGTCGTGGTTCTCGCTG